CAACAAAAAGACGTATACATTTGTTTCATCGACTACGAAAAGGCCTTTGATAAAGTAGAACACACAGTGCTGTTTAACATCTTGCAAGAAAAAGGTCTAGACAAGAACGATATCCAATTCTTAAAAACACTATATTGGAATCAGACTGCAGACGTAAGGTTAGGGCAAGACGAAATACCAGTACAACGTGGAGTTCGTCAGGGATGTGTACTGTCTCCCTTGTTGTTTAATATATACTCGGATATATATATATATATATATATATATATATATATATATATATATATATATATATATATATATATATATATATATATATATATATATATATATATTCGATAAGGCCCTACAAGATAAAGGCATTGGCATAAAAATAAATGGCGTCCCAATTAACAACCTTAGGTATGGAGACGACACCGCGATTATCGCTGACAACCCTGAGGCTCTTCAAGAACTTCTAGACGACATAGTTCGGGCGGGAGATCCATTGTGCATGAAAATAAACACCGCAAAAACCAAGATAATGGTACTTAGTAGGAGAAATATTCCACCACCCAACATACGAGTATACGGACAATGCGTAGACACGGTAAATAAGTTCAAATACCTGGGATCTTGGCTAACATCAGAGCTTGACCCCGACTTAGAAGTTACATCGCGTATAGAACAAGCTAGGTTAATATTTATATATATATATATATAATCGAAAAACACCCATTTTACCCCTGAGGGTGTCTGGGTTACGTGTTCATGTTTTCTTGTCATAGACAAATGCAGACCATTTCTTCCTATCTTGTGCCAATTGTTTTGCTCTTTCCCACGTACTCCCTTTTCTTTGTAAAATATGTTCAACTATTTTATTCCACGTTTCTTTTGGTCTGCCTCTATTTCTTTTGCCTTGAGTCCTTGATTCCCATATTTTCTTCACTGGAATGTCGTTATTCATCCTTTGTAAATGTCCCCACCAACTCAATTGCCGTTGTTCTATAAATTCTTGCATTGATTGGATTTGTAAATTTTTTCTTATTATATCGTTTCTTATTCTGTCTTTTCGTGTCACACTTCTGACCTTTCTAAGGTATTTCATTTCGATTGCTTGTATTTTGCTTCTTTGACGCTGATTTAGTACCCAAGATTCGCATCCATAAGTCAGTATCGGCCTATATATTGTTTTTAAAACTGTCATCTTTGTTTCACTCGATATTTCTTTTTTGTTTATAAATCCCTTATTCATTGCATAGTATACATTATTAGCTTTCTGTATTCTGTTATTTATTTCCACATGGTTGTCTCCATTTGCTTCTATGACAATACCCAGATATTGATATGTCTCGACCTGTTCTAACTCCGTATCATCTACGTGTATTTGTATTTTCTTTGTTTCTTTCGCTACCTGCATTACTTTGGTTTTGTTTTATTGAGTTTCATACCCTTTTTAATCAGCACATTATTCCATATGTTGACATTCTCTTGAAGTTTTTTACGGTATCCGTGACTAATACTACATCATCCGCAAAAGCACAATCTGTTACTTCGATTGGTTGCAAGTTTCTATATCCGATGTACATTGGTCTAATTCTCTGGTTGGTTTCACGAATAATTTCGTCCATATAAATTATAAATAACAGTGGACTCAGGCTTCCTCCCTGGCGTGCTCCTTCTTTTGTCTTAAATATTTCAGATTTCATATTGTTTTTTTATTACGTAATTGTTAGTTTCGTCATATAAACTTTTTTATTACATTAATCATTTTATCACCAACATTTCTTTTCTTTAGCGTGTTCCATATTTCTTGTCTTGGTACTCTATCAAATGCTTTTTTCCATGTCTAGGAATGCGAAGTATGCCTCTTTATTATGTGTCAGTGTTTTGTTTATAATTTCTTTGATTGTAAAAATATTATCCTGAGTGCTTCTTCCTTTTCTAAATCCACTTTGGGAATTTGATAAACTTGCTTCTGTTATTGATCTCAGTTTTCTTTCTATTATTTGTTCGAAGACTTTGACCGCCGTACTTAATATTGTTATTCCTCTATAATTATTACATTCTTTCCTGTCGCCCTTTTTATGTATAGGCAATATAACTCCTAGCGTCCAATCTGAAGGTACTTTTTCTTCATTCCATACTTTGTTATAAATTTGTCTTAATGTTTCTTTTCCAAGTATTCCCATGTTTTTGAACATCTCCGCTGTTATTTTGTCATGTCCAGGTGATTTACCATTTTTTAAACTTCTTGATTGCTTCATCTACCTCATCTCTAGTAACAACTTCTATATCAATTTCCTCTTTAGTATTAGATATTTCAATTTCTTTCTGCTGGTACGTGCTATCTGCGTTTAAAAGTTGTTCAAAATATTGCTGCCATCTTTGCATGATTTGGTTTTCTTCAATTAAAACTGTACTATCTGTACTTTTAACTGTCACTGTATCATATTTAATAAATGAGAAACTATTATGTAACCGATCACTCAACATCAACATACGTCTGCGTTTTGTCCATTGTTATGTATACTTAATCCTCTTATACGGCTGTGAGACATCGACTATTAAAATAAACACCATGAGACGGTTGGAAGCTTTTGAAATGTGGATCTACAGAAGACTCTTGAAAATACCCTGGACAGATCATGTACGCAATGAAGAGGTTCTTGGGAGGCTTAACAGGTACAAGGAATTAATTGCAAATATAAAAAAACGAAAGACAGCATACCTGGAGTGGGACTCTGTGTCATGTAGAATTCTACATATCGTCAGAATTCTATAGGATCGGCACTCCGTGCAGCAACGATATCGATAAGGTGCGATTATTTTGGTCGCTTCATTTCTACATTTCAATTGGTATCGAATTCTACGTAGCGCACGCGTATTGAGAATATATTTGACATTTTTAAGGTTATTAGATTAAGTTATCTATTTTGTCTCAGAGGAATTTGCTAATCTAAGATTTTGTTTGTTGTTGTTTATGTTTTTGAGTTGTTGACAACTCTATTTTGTGTGACAGTTATTTAAATATGTTGCCAATTAACATAATAAATATCATGGCAGCAGGAGAAGAGGAAAGGCTAGAAGATTATAATTTGTTTCTGTACTAAATAAACAATATTTTGTTTAAAAAATATATATAATATGGTAATAATTATGAAATAAACACACAATAAACATGAACGGCCTTCAAATATTTCAACTGTCGCCGATTGAGCTCGCCTGAATAGCACCTTTCTGAATGAGTGCTTTTGTACTCTAACTTTCTTTTTACACTGGGTGTTAGTGAGGCACTGGTGGATGCTGCATTAATCTCAACATTTAATGGGGTACTGGGAGTTCGTGTGGCACTGGTGGATGGTGCATCAGTCTCCATATTTTTGAGAATTTCAACCTATTAAAAAAATTATATTAATTTTTTAATTAACAAACCAATTAAAGAACATGATAATGTAAATGCCTTTGTGACTTTTTTCAACTAACATAAAGTAGCACTTACTTTTCCAGATCCTAACTCGGGCACTATCTCGTCACCATAATTTGCCTTATTCCCCATAATTTTTAAAAGTCTTTTCTCTAATGTTGTTAATGGAGGAACCTGAGGGGGGCCACCACCAGTTCGTTGCTGCTCCATTTTTATGGCAGAAGCCTTTGATTTTGTTTTGCATTTCCAATCAGTAAATCAGTAAGCGTCTGAAAATAAATATAAGTTTGTGATATTACTCTTACCACTTAATTTATAACTTATTTCCAGATTAATAAAGGTCTGTGACAGGATAATAACATACTTACTTACTTTTCGCCAACCATCCACGGTTTTTTCACCATATCCTAAACTATTCAATTGTACCGAAACACTTTGCCATAAGGCATTGCATTCCTTCAGTACCATTAAATTTATTTGTTATTAATTCCGGATTGTTCTCGCAAACGTTTAACAGTAAGTTCCAATGTTCGGCCCTTACCCTCATTTTGCTAATCAAAATGATATAATAAAGATTCTTAAATTTTTTTACTGAAGATGTTTTAATATTTAAACTAATTTTTGGTTAGGTTATCTATCATGTAAACAAACGTTCTATGCGTTCTCTGTTTAGTTTACACGCCGGAGTATGTTTCCACATTATCTAAATGTGCGATAAACAAAGACGAAAATAACACCAACATTTGTATCAGGCGCTACATTTGCTAATGTTTGTAGGATTAATAGTATCGCTAGCGAAAAATACGCGAAAAGAGCCGAACGAAAACGATATCGGCACAGAGTGTTCCACAATATGGCTGACTTAAACTCTACTATCGCCGTCCTCCGATAGAAAGGGATAATAGAATACTATTATAGATTTCTATATAACACGGAGACCCACTGCTGGGCCATTTCATGCGCAGTAGCAGAGCAAAGCTTCTGAAGTTGATTATGGAGGGAAAGGTAGAAGGCAGAAGAGGACTTGGGAGACGCAAGCACTCTTGGTTGAAAAACTTGCGAGACTGGACTGGACTGAACTCACACGAACTCTTTCGAGCTGCACAGGACAGACAGTGTTTCGCCGCGATTATTGCCAACCTTCATTAGAAGATGGTACTACAAAAAGAAGAAGAAAAAGAAGTATAAAAAATACTGAAAGTCAATTTTGTGGCGTTTGAAAAAAATAGCATGTTCTATTCGGAGTAAAAGCTCTGATAAAAGTGACTTTTTGTGGGTAGTCTGCATGTCCAGCCTCGCCACAAAAAGTGTAATTTTTACTCCTAATAAAACAATATACTATTTTTCCAAACCAGTGTGTTATTTTAAATCAAGCAATAAAATAATTCTGTATGACTGCAGACTATTTATTTAAATAGATTATCATGGTTTCCATAAATTAGAAAATAAAATATCGTATCAAAAATTCCATGGACAAAATAAATTGTAATAAATTAGAATGTTTTTTTTTCAGAAAAGTCAAAAAGAAAATAGAAATGTAGTGAAGGTGCTATGTGTTTGACTCTTCAGTCTATGAGTATAAATAAATAATCAAAATTCACTGTCAGACAGATGACAGATACTTAATACAAATAGATACTTATTATTTTTAAAGTAAATTAGAAGAAATGTCGGAAAAAGACGAGGAAACAGTACCACAAAAATTTTTAGTAGTCGGTATAGTTACCAGTGAAGATTTTCAAAAATGTCGATTTGCTGTTACAAAACTTTACAACAGTTTTCCAAAGGAATTTGAATCTCCTGAAATCAGGCCAATGTTGGATGTGGAATGGAATGATTTTATTAAAAAGGTATCACTCCATTGAAACTCCCTACCTCTGTTAAACTTTGAATCTCAGTATTTATGTTCCAATAAAATACTTCAGTTGTTATGTATAGGAAACATACAGGGTGAAGCCGCTCATACGAGATTAACTGTCGAAGGGACAAGACAATTTGTATGACTGCGCTGTGAAGGCATATCTAGCTTTATTTGAGCGATATTCTAAACATATTGGTACTATGGGGTGTGACAAAAGGGGAATTTGGTTATCAATTTTGAAAGATTAAGGAAGGAGCATATCAACAAACTTAGGTCGAATACGATGGGGGCTTAATATTGCTGACTTAAATTCCGGTACCTACCGGGTGTTGCATCGTCGGATGGGACATAGGAAATCCCATGTAAATTTTAATGGGGTCAATAATGGCTTCCCTAATTATTTTAGAGAATAATTCTATTTAGGTTTATTGAAGAGCACTAAAACCCAAATTCAAAAGAATAACTTTAGATATTTTTGATTAGCTCGTTTACGAGTTATCGCCGATTTCTTTTTAAATATTTCTCCTTTCTTATGGCCCTGTATTTACTTATGAGCACCAGTCAAGGCGTAGATAAAAGAAAATAATCTACTATTAAGATAGATATGAAACTTAATAGTAAACTTTTGGGTCAAAGCGCCCCTCCGTGTTTTTAGTCGAGACTACGTTTATATAACCCAGCGCCTTCGCCTTTTCTGCTGTAAATGTTTTTTATGTTTATATTTGAATTCAAAGGATTTATTTTTAAAGTTACACTGATATATTAGTATATCAGAGTAACTTTAATAAAACATAAGAATATATATTTTACACTTTATTTTTTTATTTATTTTACAGTTTTAAAGAGTTTTTTTCTACAGAGTTTCATGTAAATGATCGTAAGTCGACTGGCTGTCTAATGAATAGACCGAGATTTATAGATTTCAAAGCGAACGAAAAAAAAATCAAACAACGAATACATACCATATATTTATCTATACCTTATCGTCTTTTGGAAACACGTACATTTTTGCAGTTTTGTTAGTTTCTTTGCAAGATGCAACACAACAAGAAAACACCATTTTTACAGTTAATAAATAATAAAACTATTTCTGACTATGATATTTAAAATCTAGATAGATAGAAAATTAAAAAACAAACGAGTATTTGCAAACGCAGGCCCAAATTCAATAAAAATCAAAATTTTTCTTGCGAAAATCAGGCTTTTTCCACTGAAAATGTATTTTTTGATTTATCAGCAGTCATTGTCAAGTTGACAATATACAGGGTGTTTTCGAATTAGTCTAAAAAAATTATGGTGTGATTCCTCATGTGTTCTTAAAACAATTTTTATATAACCATTGGGTCTAAAGTACTTCCTTTCTGATCTACAGGGTGTTAAAAATTAAAAAAAATCGATTTTTTTGCTTAACATAAATGGTACACCACTGCTTTTTTAAAGAAAATATATTTGTTTCTTGACTGGTCATCCTTTTTCAACAAAATTGATCTTACGTTCATCAAACGGTTGTCGGGAAAAAAATAAATATACTTATTAAGAGCCCGCCTTAATTCGTTTTCTAACGATTTTTTATTTTTTAGATTAATTAGGAAAGACCCTGTATATGCATATCACAGGCAACCAAATAAACTAGTAACCTCTAAAAATTATTTTTTCTACCACTAGCGACATACCGTGTTTTTAGTGTGTACTAAATTGTTTTATCAAAATTTCACCATATAAGTTTCCAGGCAATGAGTCAAGGTAAAAGATAACTGTCAAATGAAGTTGTCATTTCAGAAATTTACCTATTTAGTGCTTTATTATTATTGAAAACTCATTCCTACATCGGAAATTTTAAAGAAGTATTTATAAATACAAATTAATATGAATTAAAGTAAAATAAAGTAATCAATTACAAGGTTAATTATAGTATTATTACAATATTTAATATTAATTTAGGTACTATTAAATTGTTAGAACTTTAGGATTTAAGAAGATGTTCAAATATTCCTCCATCGACTGCTAGACAATAACCCAGGCGATCATAAGATTCTCTTCTTACATTCGCTAGTTGGTAAACTGAAATTCTATTGCATTCGGCAGAAATAGCATTTTTTAACTCGTCTAGATTTCGGTATTTTTTATCCTTGTATATCCTGTTTTTTAAATGGCCCCAGACAAAGAAATCATTTGGCGAAATAACAGGAAACCTTGCTGGCCAATTTACTGTATGATTTAGGCCAATAACGTTTCCGTTAAAACTATTGTCTAAATATTCCCGAACAGCCAGGGTACTATGTGCCGGGCAGCCATCCATTTGGTACCAAACTTCCTGATTTTCCCTAGCGGCATCATATAAAGCAGGTAAAATATGATTTTCGAGTAGTATAATAATATTCTGCATTTAAATTTCGCGTAAGAAATAATGGCCCGATAATATTATGTCCGAATATCCCTGCCCAAACATTTACTTTCTGTGGATATTGCGTCCTTGTTTCGACAAACCTGTGTTGGTTTTCTTTGTTCCAATATCGATAATTTTGAACAATGGGTTCATTATTTAAGGTAAACCTGCATTCGTCAGTGAAACATATGTTTTTTAAAAATTCCCTATCCGTGTTTGCTCTTTCCATCATATTAAAACAAAACGCCTGCCGCCGTACTTCGTCCCCATCTCGTAGCTCTTCGTGCTTTTCATATTTAAAGGAATAGTATTTATGTCATTTCAAAATTCGAAGCGCTGTAGTGTGATCTATTCCTATTTTCAGAGGCGCAACTAGGGGGGCCGTGGGATCTTTGCCCCCCCCCCCCAGATGACCAATGTGTCACATATAAAATTGGTTTTAACCTCACATCAATAGTAACTTACAGTGACCTAAGCCCCCCCAAAAGACTTGAGCCCCCTTAAAAATATATGTCTAGTTGCGCCCCTGCCTATTTCGTTCTCAAGTTTCCTTGTGCTGATCTTTCCATTGTTCTCTTCCACGAACAATAAAACTTCCAAGTCGGTATCATTTCTTGCATCTTCTCTTTGTTTCCGCCTTGCTTCACATCTGCAGTTATTTATTAGGGTACCTTTGGTCTCAAATCTCTGGATATTCCTTTCGATTGTAGATTTTCCAGTTATCGGTCTATTCGGATACAGAGCAGCAAACATGTCCGACACCTTTTGATAACTATTTCCTTGATAGTACCATTTAATCATTAATACTTTTTCTTCGGTAGTAATTCATGGCTAATATTTTCGATGTAGGTATGAGTTTTTAACAATAATAATAAAGCACTAAATAGATCAATTTCTGAAATGACAGCTTCATTTGACAGTTATCTTTTACCTTGACTGGTGCTTATAAGTAAATACAGGGCCATAAGAAAGGAGAAATATTTAAAAAGAAATCGGCGATAACTCGTAAACGGGCTAATCAAAAAGATCTAAAGTTATTCTTTTGAATGTGGGTTTTAGTGCTCTTTAATAAACCTAAATAGAATTATTCTCTAAAATAATTAGGGAAGCCAATAATTGACCTCATTAAAATTTACATGGGATTTCCTATGTCCCGCTCAACGATGCAACACCCGGTATATCAGTACCGTTCTAATTTTATTTAAATGTAGGGTAGACTCAGTATCGTTCATCTAAATAATGACGTTTGGTTCAGGAAATGTTTGAAAAAAACCCTAAATAAAAATGTAAATATAACTTCTACACCCTATATCTTCAAAACGAAGTATTTTAGGACATACATTTATACCAGTGGCGAAGCTTCCACTGATGCGGATGATCCCTTCATATAGTATATTGTAATATACGTCCTTACTTAAAAAATTCACTGAGATCTCCTATAATAAATTAAAATTCTAAGTAAATTTATTCAAATAACTAAATTCAATTTCAATTATTTAATGGGTATTGGTCGAGTTTTATAGATTTAACGCTAAACTACGCTAAACGCTTAAAATAAAAATCTCTCGACAACGCACAGTGGTTCCCCTTAATTAGCTGCGCGGTCATAACTGTTAGATATCTAGATATAGCTTGACTGCACCTTTCTTAATAGAAATTGATAACAAATGCTAAATAAATGTATATAAAAAACTTAATGTAATATGTATTAAAAAAATTGGGCCCAATTCGTGTGATTTGCATTTTAAGTTCTAACTATTCGGAAAGGTATACAGATTATGTTTGCACATATGTCACCATATGTATAGTAAACGCCACGAATATTTGGGAGTGATTCATCGGTCGCTACCATGTGAACTAATCTGTTCAAGGTCACATAAAACTTAATTCCAGTGCCGTGGTGTTTCAAGTCATATAATAATCAATATATAATCTGTTGTAATTTGTTGTTTTAACTGTCAAAGTCTTGCCAAAACATTGACAAAAAACATATATTTGGTCGCACTGCAAGTACACCAATGGACTGACGCACAAAAACGAATCAATCAAAGAAACGCGATATAGTATCGTCTTTGTCAATCACGCTAACGTTTTAGAATAAGTAGGAGGAGCGCAGGCAGATGATTAGACCGGGCCTTTAAAACTTACGTCTGCGGTAAACATTTACGTTTTTAATGTAAAAATGATAGCGTGCGTGTCGATTCTAACTTCATCAAGCGATGAATCACTCCCAAACATTCGTGGCGTTTACTTTATAGTCTGTCCAACGACAAGATCCTTGACAGTGATTGATGTGTCTGTCATTTTAATTTCAAAGTAGTTTATTTTATTTTACAAAGAAATAAGTTGGTAGAACTGGAACGCATAACAGGAAATTAATATATTTAAAATTTGACTGACAAATGATTACTTCAAAATATTGTGAAAAAACTGTATAAAACTGAAAAAATGTAATCGAGTTATTTTATTTAACAAAAAACGGTATGTGATAATACAAAACAAACAAGAACATACCAAAACACCACATACCAAAAAAATATAAAAAGAACTACTTTCAAGCTTCATGAAAATGAAACTTCCCGCATTTATGGTTATATTTATCA